TTTTTTTTTTTTTTTTTTTGAGATGAGGTCCCACTATTTTGCTCAAGATGGCCCCAAAATCCTGAGCTAAAGTAACCCTTCTGTTCCCAAGTATGCGGACTCAAGTATACAGCACCTTGCCCAATAGTCTAGACATTAAATTTCTTAAGATTTGGGGGTGGGGGTGGTATTACTCCTGTAGTAGTAGCTACTTGGGAGACTGAGGCAGGATCACTCCAGGGCAACGTAACAAGTCCGTCTGTCCATCTGCACGGTTCTTTCTCTCAGCTGAGATGTGCAGGCAGAGGAAGCAAATTTCCACTCTGGACAGCAGCTCCACCACTGCGGTCCTTGAATGAGAGGAGGCTGGGAAGACGAGGACCTTGTTCCTTATGCAGTGTGTTTAAGCTGTTCACTCTCTCTTTAGGAGCTCTGGGCAAAGCACCCAGTAAAGTAACCGACGCCCTTCCTGAGCCTGAACCTATCGGAGCGATGGCTGCCTCAGAAGAGGGAGAGGATGAGGAGGATGAAGAGGACCTGGAGGCCATGCAGTCCCGGCTGGCCACACTCCGAAGCTAGGGCCACCCAGTTGTGGCCTCAGCTCTGTGGTGCCCTCGTCTAGGTGTGGGCACAGCCTCTGGGGAGTCCTCGTTTCCTGTATCTCTTGCACTACACCTCTGTTGTGAAGCATTGCATTTTGGAGAGGGTTCTTTGCTAGTATATCTTCACTGTTTGCAGAGGTCTTAAGGACTGTTTTTATGAAGGTGGTGTAATCAAATGCATTATTTTCAAGATCATAAATAGCAGAAGTATCTTTCTTGGGGGAGGGCAAAGAAACCCATTTTCTCATGAAGCAGTTCCTAGAAGAGTCAATTGAATGTTGAGGACTCTCTACTGGTGTGTATGTGTAAAATACTACGTAAATGGATGTCAATAAACTTCTACTTTAGCTCTTGGTCTCATTGTAGATGTCGTGTGCAGTGAACTCAAGGTGTTGATCTCCCAGATGTCTCAGTGTTGGCCCTGGAAAGAGGAAGTGCCGTCACCAGGCATCAGAACATGGGAGCTCAGCAGAAGTGCCTTCTGCTCAGGAGCTGCTGGTCCTGATCTTCAGACAGTGTTTGGGGGCCACTCTTGGCAGTTGTCATCTGTTTAACCAGTGGGTGTTGGTAATGCGCTGTGTTGGCTGGGGAACTGTATCACACACCTGTGCACACATGGGTAGCTTTGCAGCTGTTAGTCATTCCTCCCCATGGCAAGTGTCATGCGGAACAGACAGCTCTGGGATCAGGACTCTTACCCCCCATTCTCGCTTGGAGCCAAGTGTCTTGCACACAGGGACATGGCCTAACCATGAATATGAAGAGCTAACGAGCGAGAAGCTTTGGTTATGCATTGAAACATACACACCACGACATGCTTTAGATGCACTGAGAAGTAACCTGGTAGTTGCACTGTGTGTGTGACAGTTTGAAAAGCTCTTTGGCATGGTTGGTCTCATGCAGTCTTCACAGATGAGAACAGCTGTTTGCTGAAGTCACAAATGCTAATGTACAATGACCTGTGTCCACCATTATTGTGGTACAGAATGGCTTTGTTACCCAAAAACAACCCTATGTGCTCTGTTCATCCCCTCCTTCCTGGTCCTGTGACATCCATTGGCCTGTTGACTATCTCTGTGGGTTTTCCTTTTCCAGCCTTTCAGACTAGCTTCCCTTATGTGCTAATGAGCATTTAAGTTTCCTCTGTGTGGGCTCATGACTTGATTGTTCAGCTCTTCTCAGTGAGCAGCATTCCATTTTCTGGATGAACCAAAATTTGTCCTGAAGGGCATCAGGACTGCCCCTCAGTTTGGGGATTATCACTAAACCTGAAGCAATGTCTGCAGCACTTTCCCTGTGTGTGAGTTTTTAATTCCTGTGGATACCAGGGAGTTCAACCATAGGACGTGTGGTCAGCACATCCTTGGGGCTGTAAGAGGCTACACCAGCCTTGCATAGCACACACTGTCCACCTCCTAGGAGGAAGAGTTCTGCCATTCTGCGTCCTTGGCAGCATTTGTCATGAGGGATTTCTGTTGTGTTGGTACCTTGTCTTAATCTGTAATCCCCGATGAAGCATGCTGGGCATCTGTTTCTATACTTGCCTTCTCTGTATTTTGTTTGAGAATGTTCAAATAGTGGCCTTGAACTCATGACCTCTCTGCTCTGCCACCATGCCCAGCTTGCCACCTGTATTTCTTCACTGTTGGTGTTTGTTCATTTTATAAACTGGATTGTTTTCTGATCACTCAACTTTAAGGTCCTCTTCCGTATTTTGGACCAGTCGTCTATCAGATTTTATCCTATTCTCTGGTCTGTTCACTCATTGTTGACAGTTGCTCAAAGCTGACTTTTTTACTTTTAATAAAACCCTGCTTCTCAATTATTTATTTTGTATATCATGCCTTTGGTGTCTTGTTTTGTTTTTTTTTTTAAAGTGTCACTACAGGGAATGTAGCTCAGTGGTACAGTACCGGCCTGGCATGTACAAGGTCCTGGGTTCAATCCTCACATACCAACACACACACACACACACACACACACACACACACACACACACACACAATTTAAATGTTGTGTTACCTAGTAGTTTGTCTTGTTTTAATTACATATGTTTATCATGGTGGGATGTGAGCCACAGTGTACATTTGGAAGTCAGAAGACAACTTGTAGGAGTTGGTGCTTTCCACCATATGGCAGTTGGGTTTGGAGGTGAGCATGTTTTTTCACTGGGGCAGCTTACTGGCCCTTGTGTTGTGTTCAGATTGAGGTCTATAATCCAGTTTCAGTTGACTTTTACAAAGGTTTTCATGAAGGTGTTTATAAAAGTCTGTGTGTAGGTTTGTTGGTTTTTGCATGTGGATATCCAGTAGTTCAGGATCATTCATTGAAAAGCCTGTCTTTCTGCCAGTCTATATATATTACCCATATATATGGTTATTTTATCTACTTAGATTGAGAGACACGACTGGGCATTTCCAGAGCGAAGTGCCAACAGGGGAAGACCTACCTCCCCCGTCCCTAGGGGCATATGCAGAGTGAAAGGGAAAAAGAGAAGGCCCACTAGCTCTGGGCTCAAGCTGAGCTAAGAGTCGTCTTTCTTCCTTTGAGTTGATTTCGTCAGGTGTTGGTCTCAAATGACAAAGTAAAACGTGCTGCACTTTGTTTCCCAAAATCAATCAGTTGTATTGCGCGGCTCTACTTCTGGGCTCCCTGTTCTGTTGTCCCCTCTTCCACCCAAGCCATGTGTGAGAGACACATGCGCACACTCCATCCTAGCACTTGGAGGCAATGACAGCAGGATTGTCTGAGCTACATATTGACCCTAACTCAAGCAAACCAATGAGTCAGTCAACCAAAGACTGGTGATGTAGCTCCGTGGTGGAGCAGTTACCTAGCAGGGATTCAGTTCCCAGCGCCACAAAAGAAAAACGTGGCTTGATAGCCAAAGCAGCATTATAGTAATTCTCAGGTCATATCACCCTTTGACTTGTTTGAGACAGGTTCTCACTAGGTAGCCCTGGCTGGCCTGGAACTTGCCGTGTAGACCAGGCTGGCCAAATTGACAGGTCCACCTGCCTCTGCCTCTGGAGTGAGTGCTGGGGTTAAAGGTGTGCACCACCAGGCCTGGTAGTCTTGTTTTTTTAAAGTTATGTTGTTAATTCTGGGTCTTTTGCTTCTTGATATACACTTTAGATTTAATTTACTGAGATTCCAAAAATAATTTGAAATCTGTGGAGAACTGGTGTGTTGCAATGATGCCGCATGCTTTATAATGAGCCCCAAGTTTCTTTACAAGGTGACACTGGCATTAACTTGCCCATTTCCCTGGTCATTTTAGTTTGTATGTTTGTCGATAATCAAACTTTACCCAGGTAGATGACAGTGGCAGCCTGTCCTCCAAGCACTCAGTGAACAACAGATCATGTTTTCACATTCCTGATTTCCTGCTGAGCAGAGCAATTTTGGGCTGTTTGCCATGTATTTCTTTTTCCCCTCACATGCTTTGGTGGCATCATGGGAAGCAGTTCAGATCTGCAGTCTGTCCCTCCTCTATCCCAGTAACAGATGCAATAACAGAAATACTGGTTTTTCTGCCATCCCATCAGGACCCACTTGGTGCCTAATAAACTGATCCCATATCCTAGAGCACCTAAATGACCACTGTATACCCCAGCTTGCTCACTTTAAATGGTTACTCTGAAATAGCTGCTCCCCAGCCCAGAGTGTGCACACTGCACCCTAGGCAGATGGCTGAGACCCTCCCTGCACCCTGCCCACCCAAAGTGTGCACACTGCACCCTAGGCAGATGGTTGAGACCTTTCCTGCACCCCTGCCTCAGGCCAGAGTGTGCACACTGCACCCTAGGCAGATGGCTGAGACCCTCCCTGCACCCCTGCCCCACCCCTCCATTTCACAGCCAAGCTGCCTCTCTCTGTCAGAGGCAGATGAAAAAAAACTTCAAAAGCTTTTATTATCCTGTTTTCTATGCTCAAGTATTTTGCTGAAAAGACAAGTCTGGAGTGTGTACCCATTGAGCTTAACATTACAGATGGCAGTCTCAGGACAGACACAGTATTTGAAGAAATAATGCCTCATAGTGTAAAAACTTATTCAAGAAGCACAAAGTCTTAGCATTGAAAGAGTAAGGTAGAGAAGACCAACTACTAGGTACTGCTTTATTGGTGTGTGTGTGTGTGTGTGTGTGTGTGTGTGTGTGTGTGTGTGTGTGTGTGTGTGTGTAGAGTGATTCACTTATAGCGTTGTCTATACTGCCTCCTGCCAAGCATGACTTCACTTGCTATCTGGAACAGAGTGCCCTGGAGAAAGAGCTGCAACAATGGATCGCTGCCATTAATAACCTGACAATTCTTGCTTGCCAGCCCCAGCTTGTGGTTTTGGAGCATACAATGAGAATTCCAACTGGACGCAGCACCGAGGCCTTTCAGGGCCATCCTGGCCTCGACCCACTGGTGACACCTCATCCACTCTCTGGTGTCAGAGTGCTCGTTCCAGAGCGGCCCACAACAGCAGGCTAAACTCTTAAACCCTACAGGGACTCACACTGGGACATGTGGTAGTCAAGGCCAGAGAAGAAAGAATCCTTAAACCGCCAAAGAGGAGGTAGAGGGTCTTCAGTAAGATGTACAAGTATCTTTTGATAACAGACCACCGTGGCCAGGAGACTGTAGGATACCATTTTTAGAATGTTTTAAAAAAAAAAAAAAAACAGCCGGGCGTTGGTGGCACACGCCTTTAATCCCAGCACTCGGGAGGCAGAGCCAGGCGGATCTCTGTGAGTTCGAGGCCAGCCTGGGCTACC